ATGCGAGGCTTTCAAGTAGGATTAGATTCGATTGGTATTATAATCTTACTCATGGTAGTTAGATAAAAGCTTCGAGATGGTTGGTGCGGCACTAGTACTAGCCTTCATGTGTATTGCGAGTTTTACAAGTAGGTCAGCACCAGGCTAATTCAATTCTCCCTTCTTTTTTTTTAGAGGATGCAGTACGCTAGCGTATGCTGTCCGTGGCCCTGCATACTCTCACTCATGCACGCTTGCATCTAGTTTCCGCATTGAATAGGACTAGTGCCAAGCGATGTATTTTAACCGTCTAAAATAACAATGTGTAAGTCGAACTCCTCATAAACACGGTGCAGCAATTTATGGAGCAGAAGAGCTATTTCAGAGTATTTCAGCTTTTCCAAGTTTGTGAAGTAACCGGCCGGTATGTCTCTGCAGTCCATGCTTAACCCCGCAACCGCGAAACCGTCGACAATGGCGGCGCAAGACCGATCGACAGCAACAGAACAGCCCAAGACTTCTTCTGGGCTTTTCTGCAAAGAACCAGTGTTTGGTGCCCACCGTTTCGGCGCACAACCTTTCGGTGCACCACCACCAACCTTCAATGCAACAACTTTCGGTGCACCAGCTCTCGGGGCACCAGCTTTCAGGGCACCAGCACTTTTCGGTGCACGATCAAACCCGGCACCTGTAGGTAACAGTACAGCCTAGCGCTTCCGTCAAGATTTTTTGCAACAGAAAAGACCAAGCGCCAATGGCGATTTGCGGCGAAAATCTGCCGAGTGATGGTGCTATCTCTTCTGGACCGCTCACCAAGAGTACGCAGCCTATCGGCAGAAGCCCGGAAAGCAACCAACATATTGGCGGGACAAAGGCTCAAGACTTTATACGAGACGGTGTGATTAGATACTTCCTAGACACTTGGGAGGTGACATTGGCCAATTGGATGCTCCTAGTTCACAAGACAGCGCTCCCGGAAAATGGCATTTACAGTGTACAGCAGATGATACCGCTGTCAACGCATTGGAAAGCGTAATCGCTGGCGAAGAGCTTCTACCGGCAAAATTCGGCGATTTGCATTTGGTTAACTTCCTAGACGCTTTGGAAACCCGAATTCAGCTTCAGAAAGACAACGGGCAAGAATGTAAAAGAAAATCCGGAGCCACCATTGCTTTCGACCAATACCTCGCTGTTCAAGGCCATAAGGGCAAGAAAAATGGTAAAGACGCTTTGTCCTACAAGTTAGAGATTGGTCGCCGTTGGAAGGAACTTGCCAGCCCATCGAGTCTCCTATTGCTTGCTTTCTCTGATGCCGCCGAGGATTTTGTGTAAGTGCTGCGTGCTTACTGTGCCGATACATTCAAGCTAATATATTTTGCAGCAAGGGGTACCACAAAAACCCTTTCGAAGTGCGTCCTCTACAGAATTTTGCCAACGAATTGTACAAGATTATTCCGAAAAATCTCTTGCATACGTGCATTCATGTCTCGGGAATGGCAGAAATGGCAGTCAGGATTGGGAAAGGCTAGGATATTCCACGCGTGAAAGAGTTCCGATACCAAGTTTCAAAGTTCTTCTAATATGCTGAATGATGCTAGACGTTCTTTTAATTGATAGTTAAGTTTGTCATTCTAAAAAGTGTATGAAAGACCAAGCCTGTAATGTCGTGACAGTGTACAACCTACAGCTGCATGGCAGCTTACAACCCGAAAAACTCCACCTGGCCGAATATCTGTCGCAGGAGATACAGAGTTTTGTTCGATGGAGCTAGGTCACACTCGAGTTGAAGACGCGAGGTGGAGTTCGAGCATGTGATCCTAATCGTTCGTGGCTTCGGCGCCTTCGTTCGGTTCGGTTCTAGAAGAACGCGAGGCATATTTATCAATACGGCTTGGCATAACGTAAGAGGGAGGGCAGTCCTACTGTGGTTTTTAGGTTCATACTGCGGAAATTGCACTACAAGAGGAGGGGAAATTGGGCATCAAGGCTATGTCAACGCAAATACCCACAAAGGTGCAGGCCATCCAAAGGCCGTCCCGGATTATTTATTAGGCGAGGCGTCTGCCAAACTCGAACGTTACTTTTTGTCCGCCCGTCACATGACATGACTAAGCGTTTGTCGCTGGAACGCGCGACAGGCCTCTGGGTTACAGAGGCGATACTTTCAAACAAATCTTCGACACGGCGAAACGCCCGCGTTAGTTCTTGCCAATCGTGTTCCTAATTCATGATTGGTCAAAAAAGAACAGCTGGAAAAGCTAATGCAACAAGCCGAGCTACGTGACGAAGCCTATAAGAAGCAGACTGGTGCAACAACGCAAAACGGTTGCCTCAACGATGGCCGAAAAAGAAATCGAAGACCTTAAAAAACAACTCAAGGAAGCTAGGGCGCGAGAGGAGAACGAGCGACGCGAAAAGGAAGAAGCAAAGGCGCGTGAGGAGAACGAGCGACGCAAAAACCAGAGGACGACTTTAGCGGAGTACTTGTATAACTGTCACTTCGACCTGTACCAAAAACTCAGGCTCGCTGGCCCGTCGGAGAGCTCTACTGGTTTGGCGACATCGGTCGACGGTAAATACTACCCAAGGTGGCTTCGCCCTTGGCGTGCCTTTACCGACAGCCAGCGACAAGAACACTTCGACGACATCATCCGCATCTGCGGCGAGAGGCGAGTTTTTCAACAAGAGAGCACAACAAGAGATAACGGAATCAATTTCGAGCGGAAAAAAGCCGGTTATGAGAATGCTATCGACCATTTCGAAAAAACAGCAGTCGAAGACCCTACGTGGATGATTCTGGAGCCCGTTTGGGCTGACAGGGAGCTGCGCCAG